ACACAAAGGACGGGCAATTTTTAAAAAATCTTTAATAAATCTCTGGTAGAAACCGGCATGCCCGTGAAAACTACGAACACCTTTCACATTAAGAGGGGGAGGGAGTTGTTCAATCACATCAATTTTGGCCTTATCGACCTCAATTCCCCTAGATGAAATAACATGACCAAGAACAATCCCACTAGGAACCATGAAATGCGATTTTTCCCAACTAAGCGTCAAATTACTCTCAATGCATCGTTTCAATACTCTACCAAGTTTATCAAGACAATCAATAAAAGAATCACCAAAGACGGAAAAATCATCCATAAATATCTCAATAAATTCACCAATCATATCCGAAAAGATAGAGAACATGCACCTTTGGAAAGTAGCGGGGGCATTGCAAAGCCCGAACGGCATCCGCCGAAACGCAAAGGTGCCAAAAGGACATGTGAATGTGGTCTTCGGTTGATCCTCCGGAGCAATCGGGATTTGGTAGTATCCCGACAATCCATCAAGAAAGTAATGGAAAGGATGGCCAGCTAGTTTGTTGAGGAGTTGGTCGATAAATGGCAAAGGAAAATGATCCTTCCTTGTGGCGGCATTGAGTTTCCAGAAATCGATACACATTCACCACCCCGTCGTGGTCCTCGTGAGTACAAGCTCGCCTTTGCTATTTTCGACCACCGTGATTCCACTCTTCTTCGGGACAACGTGCACGGGACTCACCCACTCACTAACCGCAACGGCATAGATAATCCCTTCTTTCATCAACTTGAGGATTTCTCCTTTCACGACCTCCATCAAGGTTGGGTTCAATCGCCTTTGTCCTTCTCGAATGGGTCTCGCCTCGTCCTCAAGAATGATTCGATGCATACATGTGGCCGGACTTATCCCTTTGATATCACTCAAACTCCACCCGAGAGCTTCTTTGTTGTTCTTGAGGACCCCTACGAGTAGGTCCTCCTCTTTGTTCGAAAGGCCCGAATAAATAATGGCGGGCTTCTTCTCTCCATCTTCAAGGAAAACATATTTAAGGTGTGATGGTAGTGGCTTGAGTTCACTTGAAATTTCCCGGGGCTCGGGCTCCTTGGATAGCTTGAAAAGATCTACCACGCCCTCATCTTCGGAATCAACATCCTCGGCCGCATCACCGTTGGACACGCCACATTCGCATGAGACTTCGGCATGAAAAGATCGTGGACCGCCTCTTCAATCACGTCCACATAAGAACAGTTCTCGGTGGCTAACGGTATTGTTCTCGCCTCGTTCATAGTAAATGTAACCGATTCGCCAAGAGCCGATAAAGTGACACGCCCGTCCTTAACATTAATAAGGGTATTGGTGGTGTCCATGAATGGTCGACCGAGTAAGATAGTATGCTCATTACCGGTATTTGGGACTTCTCCGACATCAAGCACAACAAAGTCCGCCGGGACTATCAAATTTCCGACTCGGATCAATATATCTTCAATAACTCCCTTGGGATATCGTAGAGTGCGATC